CAAAAAAAAAAAAAAAAAAAAAAAAAAAAGCCCAGCCGGGCGTGGCTCAGTGTTGAGCTTTGACCTAGGATCCAGGCGATCGGGGTTCGATTCCTGGTCAGGGCACATGCCTGGGTTGTGGGCTTGATCCCCAGTCAGGGGCGTGCAGGAGGCAGCCGATCAATGACTCTCATCATTGGTGTTTCTATCTCTCTTCTCTCCCTCTTCCTTCATTTCTCTGAAATCAATAAAAATATATTTAAAAAAATAAAGACATGAAGAGGCCATGGTAAGGAGGAAGGGGAAGTTGGAAGGAGAGTGACATTAGGGGACAGATGATGAATTCAGTCGGGAGCCTGGAATGAGCGGGGATGTCGGGAGGCAGCTGGCTGGACCCGGCTGGCGCTCAGAGGGACAGTCTGGGTCAGAATGAGAGATGCCAGTAGCTGCAGCTGTGGGCATAAAGAAGCTCCCTCACAGGCCTGTGCCAGAGAAAGAGAAGGGAGTCCAAGGATGGGGCCCAGAAGACCTGGACTTAAGGGCTAAGCAGAGAAAAACATCTGTGGAAGCACAGACACAGTGTCCAGGAACAGCGGGCGATATCANGCTGCAGCTGTGGGCATAAAGAAGCTCCCTCACAGGCCTGTGCCAGAGAAAGAGAAGGGAGTCCAAGGATGGGGCCCAGAAGACCTGGACTTAAGGGCTAAGCAGAGAAAAACATCTGTGGAAGCACAGACACAGTGTCCAGGAACAGCGGGCTATCAGGAGAGAGAGTTGTCACAGAAGGCAAGAGAGGAGGCCACTTAGGTGCTCAGTCCCTTACACTTGTGTTTCCTTCTTCCCGTTCAAGCTCAGCATCTGGCTCTCGGTGAGCTGACCCAGCCTGCAGGGGGCTAAGGGCTTGGACTCTGTCTGAATCCTGACTCCACAACATATAGGCTGAGTAACCCTGGGCAAGCACTTAGCTCCCAGATCCAAGCCCTCATCTGGGAAAGGCGCTAGTGCTTAGTGTCTGGGGCTGCTGGCAGGATCACACGAGATCGAGAGCGTCTTGGAAAGCCCTGTGAGCCACCTTTGGTCTACAGCCTCGGGATGAGTGAGCGCCAGAGGTGCATGCACAGCAGGGGCAGGATGCGCTGGCTCCAGTGAAGAGGATTGTTTCCTAAGTTCAGCCAATAGTAGGGCGTCAGACAACAGTCAGGGCCTCCTCACCACCCTCTATCACATGTCCCCTTCCTCTGCTGCAATCCCTGTTAAACGAACCTACAGCAGGCAGGCTCCGTTTCACACTGGCCTTTCTCCAAAGCCTGCTCCTGAAATTGGTTTCCCCCCGTCATCCAAGTGTGCCCCAAGTCAGGTGATGCCGGAGTGGGCCTATTTGATTGCAACTAAACCCTGTTTACCATGTGACACCTCCTTCTCAACAGTTACTCTATGAATATGAGTAGGCATTCTCAGGCCCCCTACTTGGGGACCACTAATGTCTGCCAGCAACTTCTGACGGCCCCATTTCTGAAAGAAAGAGAAGCGTGTGGGTACCATTTCATAGCTCAGAAAGCATTTTCACAGCATAACTTCCCTTTCATTCTCACAACTGCCCTGTGAGGTAGATATAGCAGATAATAATTACACTGTTCCACATTTGTCAAGAGTTTACAATGTACCGTGTTCTGCGTTGAGAATTTTCATATGTGATCTCATTTAAACTCACCTAAATCCTATGAAATGGGGTCAATCAGCTTGTCCACTTTACAGAAGAGAAAAATGAGGCTCTGAGAGGTTAGACCTTGCCCCAGATCAAAGAGGTAGCAAATAATAGATTCACACCCCAGACTGTCTGACTCCAAAGCCACACTTTTAACCTTCTACACTATTGCCTCAGAAAGCAAGTATGTTATTTCCCAGGCACCATGCTATACACTAAATTGAAGCTCAGAGAGGTAAGGTGACTTGCCCAATGTCTCACAACCAGGAGATGGCAGGACTGGGATCCATAACTGGATCTCCTGGCTCTGAGCCCCCTGAAACCATGAAGCCTCAGTGACTGGCTTGAAGATGTGCTAAGTAATTATTTCCGCAGCTGCCTTGCCAGTCCTGCTCAGCCTGGAATAGTATTTATATGCAGAAAGTCCTTACTGACATTTTCCAAAAATTTTATGTTTTTCTGAACCTTAAGAACAATCAGTCAGAAAGTTGGGGAAATAGAGCCCAGCAGGCGTGGCTCAGCAGTTGAGCGTCGACCTATGAACCCCGAGGCCGTGGTTTGATTCCCGGTCAGGGCACACGGCCTGGGTTGCCCCCTCGGTCCCCAGTGTGGGGCGGGCAGCCGATCAATGACTCTCTCTCATCATTGCTGTTTCTCTCTCTCCCTCCCTCTCCCTTCACCTCTCTGAAATCAATAAAAACATATATTTTTAAAAAGTTTTTTAAAAATGTTTTATATAGCCCTGGTCCCTGTGGCTCTGTTGGTTGGGCATGGTCCCATGCAGGAAGTCAATGTTCAGTTCCCGGTCAGGGCACATACCCCGGCTGCAGGCTCCATCCCCAGTAGGGGGCGTCCTGGAGACAGCCGGTCAATGTTTCTCTCTTGCTCTCTCCCTTCCTCTCTCTAAGAAGTCAATAAAAACATATATTTAAAAATTGTTTTATATAATTGCCACAAGAAAAATGGATGTTCCATAAGTGGATGCCCTGTCAAACCTGCACCCTTAACTCGTGTTCCCGCAGGAGAAGCCGGGCAGCAGGGCAGGCGGCAGAGCCAGGCAGGCAGACCTGGGTCTGAATTCAGCTGGATCTGCCACAGACGGGTTGTGTGACTTTAGGCAGGTCCCTGAACTTCTCAGACTTCCTTTCTCCATCTGTAAAACGCTGATAGAATACCAGTGTCGCCGAGATGTGTGAGGATGAAAAGGGATAATTCCTATAAACCACAAAGCCCGGCCCAGAGAAGCCCCCTCAATAAATGGGAGACGTTCTTTCCTCCTACGACAGGCCCAGCAGTGGAGTTGGCAACGAGAACTCGGTGAAAGCCCTTGGAGTCGCTCAAAGGGCTCATTTGCCCCGGGCCTTCTCCAGGTGGGGTTTTCCTGCCCCTGAAGCCTCGGGGCCTCCCCGCTAAGCCCAGGCCGCCTTCCCGGTCCCCACCGGGTCCCTGGCCAAAGGCCTCTTGCCCACGTGGATTCCCAGGGGACTGGCAAGGTTGGCACAGAGTGGGAGCTCTTGCTGCTCTTCCTCTGGCGATCGAGGTAACCCGGCCCACAAAGCTTGGCCTCTGGGTCCTTGGGGGGGGGGG